AATGCCGCTCCCATCTTCTCCCCGGAGTTCCACCGCCGCCATTTCGCGGCGCTTCTACAAAGGTGCCCAATCCCCCCCCCCTTTTTTTTTTCTCTCATGGGTCCCTACTGCTATACTACTACTTCACCTTGAATATTTTTCCGAAGTAATTTTTCAGTGCTTTTCCATTGACTTATCGTATTTACACTTCATTCTTTGTTATTTTTCATCCCCTTCTTTTGAACTTAACTGTATCTCGGGTACTGTGAGACTTCTTGCTTCTTCCCACGTTTTCAAATTGCTCTGCAAGAATGTTCTGAAAAGCCATTAAATCGTGTCTACTTTGTTAAGTTGTGTAGCACGAGACTGCATATTTTTCTTACATCCCATAGGTTTTTTGAAGTCTTTGGGATTTCCATGAAGTTTGGAAAGTTACATACATATTATGTAATTTACCTATTAGTAGATTTAGTCTTGCTTAATAAATTGATTTATAAAATTTGAGAATAAAAGTATTGATTGATACATATTTTTCCCCTCGTTTGCTGTTTACAGAATAAATGCAGTAGAACAGAAAGCTTCATAATGTTTCTGTGTTGAGTGTATTGTTCCCCACCTATCATTCCTCTCACTATTTCATATCCTATTCTTTTCCCTGCGTGTGGTCAGTGTGTTTCTTCCTACACTTGTGCAGGCACAAAATAAATCTTTTGTTCTTTATGGCTGCTGAAAATATTTCTTTTTCACATCTCACGTGGTATAACTCTTTTCAATCATGACTGACTTGTTTGTTTCTCGTTGCACATCTTTTTTTTAATAGCTTTTCTTTCATTAACCTAATAACCTTGAACAATTTAGATGTTATTCGTACTCTAGGTACGCATGTTTCCAGGCAAACATTTTCCTGCACCTGTTCTGAGTTAATGGGAACACGTGTCTGCACCACAACCCACCTTACCCACTTTTCATACCCAATGTGGCTGAATGCTTCTTGGCCAAATGGTTGAAATCTCTTTTAGCATCAGTTTCTTACTTCTGTTTGGTTCATTAGAATCCTTTTCTCTCCTCTCTCTTCTGAACATTTATTTTGTGTATTATTTTCTTTTTTTCAGGAAGTTTAGCCTTTTCTTAATTTTGTATTCTTTTTCTCAGTATCAAATTTCCCTAAGGAAATTGCCAACTTCTTATCCTTGTCCACGTTTTGATTGTGACAACCAAACTGCTAACAACAAATTCATCCCTGACCTACAATAACTAATTAAACAAAACAAAACACAATAGTTCAACTATTAATGCATGCATTTTTGTTACAATCAGTTTTAAACAATCTGTGCAGATATGATAGTACTGTAGAGGGATGTACAACAGATTGCTGTATTATGCAGTTGAATAACTTGAGAAGTATTTTTTGTTTTTCTTATTTGGGAAATTCAAGTTTTGTTCACCCAATTGTAACCATACACTGTGACATGAAGTTTCTGTTTTTACTTCAGTATGATGTATGTGCACTGTGTCTTTCTTTCACTGCCAGCTGTAGTTGCAGAATATAAATGAATACTACTGATGTGTTAGGACACTGCTCACCGTAGCTAAAGTCAAACCAAAGGGAAGGGCATACTCCCTGCTTACAGGAGCTCCAGTGTCTCAGTGTTCTGAAAAGCAGAATGCATTGCTGAGAAACCTGCATTTATTACATTTTGAAGTATTGCTTCACCTTGTCTTTGTTTTATCCCACAGCCTGTGTTTATCCTTTTCTCCTGGTCGCTCGTTTGCGTGGATTTTGATACTCATAAAACCAACAAATTTCTATTAAGCTTATTGATTACTTTTACAATTAATCTTTTCCTATTAGCTGAGACAGAGTGGAAGGATGAGTGCTGTTCTTTTCCTCCTAATCTTCCCATGTGACAACCAACATTTCAAGAAGGAGACTTAAAATGAGGTGAAATTAAAAACTTGTTTTCTTTCCACAGATCTACTTTGAGGTTCTGAGGAAACTTGTTTAGGTGTTGCCTTCAAGGAGGTAAGGATCTCCTAGGAGATTTGTTATGTCTTTTCAATTTGTTTGGAGAATTAAAATCAACTTACACAGTCTTTGTAGCGAGTTGCTGTTTTTAATCAGCTGAGAAAACTGTTATAGAAGAGTTGCAGTCTGGAGATAATGGATTTGCCTTGCACTAAGGTAGAAGCTTATGATAAATGTGCTACAGTGCTTTCCTGATAAATCTGTCAAGGAAAGAAATAAAGGCTGCAGCACCTTCCCAGGGAAATGTGAATGTTCTCAAAGTATAATCACATTAAATGTGGAGGGCCAAGTAAACATGGAGATCAACTTTTGCCTGAAGTAACAATAACTGTGATGAAAAACATCGCAAAATACCTTAATGCATGCAAACAAGCAACAACTATGTCAATTAAAGAAGCACACAAAAAAATTAATGCTCTGTGAATCTCAGTGGAGAACCAAAGATGTCATTCTCCCTGCAGACCATCAACCTCCACCTGTGCACAGGTCATCTTCCATGGAACAGATCTGCAGGCAAGGGTGGTGGTTACCCCTCAATATAAAAGAGAATCCTATATGTTGAACCTGGGAGCTCAGTCATCTCCTAGATTTCTGCTAGACTGAGTTTTGGTCAGCTCAGCCCTTGTTTCTGTTCTCATTCAGGTGCAGAATCCTGATGGACCTGGTGCATGGACTTACTTCTCCTTATGGGTCTGTTTGTCTGTATGGGTGCGCAACAGCATTTCTTCTCAGGTGAAAATTTACCTTTGGCCTCTACCTGAAGCTGTGTGCTGAAGACCTTCACTGCTACATTCTAATTAATTTCCCTTCAGATGAAAAATGCAAATTCTTATGCCATGTGGATCATGTCAGCTTCTACCACAAGGATTATGCAATCCATCTCTGGTAGGTACTTACAAGCCTCACTAAAATCTGTCTGTGCTAGTCTGTCTTAATAGTTCTTTAGGGACTGCATGATGATCTCAGGGGTCTTTTCCAAACTTTATGATTCTTAGATTCAAAATGTGCTCAAATCTAATATGACAATTGCTGTTGGAATTCTCCCCATTTTAAAAAGCCTAGGAACTTCTCCAATGTAGCTGTAAAGTCCTTTAGCATTTGGCAGCCTTAACAAAAACAGCAGGTGTCTGGAACCAGTGAGTTGTGTGAACTTCGTTGCCCATACAGACTGAAGGACACAGTTCATAGAAGCACTGGGTTGGAAGGGACTCTTAAAGGCCATCTGATCCAACTCCCCAGCAATGAACAGGGTCACTACAACTAGATCAGATGCTCATAACCCTCCCAGGCTGACCTTGGGTTTCTCCATGGATGGGACATTCACCACCTCTCTGGGCAACCTTGACAGTGCCTCACCATCCTGACTATAAAAAAAAAACCCAAACAACCCTCCTTCTTCTATCCAATCCAAATCTTTCCTCTGTTAGTTTGGAACCATTTCCCCTTGCAAACCCTGCAGAAGAGTCTGTTCCCTTGTTTCTCTGCATGACCTTTACAGCATTCGTATCTTGGGCTCTCCAAACTTGAGGTGCTTTGGCGGTTACTATACACAAAAATGTTCAGCTTCTTTAGACCATAGCTTTCAGTTTTGCTGTCTGTCCTCCCACCCCTGGTCCCTGATCCTTCAGATGCATAATGCTGCTATCTTTCACCATCACTGCAACCTACAGGCTGATCATAATGAAAGCATCCTGTCACACATGCAAACCATAGATGGTGATCTGTTTCTTCAATGCTCCAGAACCACTGCAAGGAAACTCACTGTCAAGGATCAGCAGAAGAGGAACAGAATGCTCAACATAGGATACTGTATCTCTGTACCATGGCAGCACTTTGTAAAATAGTTACAGCATGAGTGCTGTGCCTGTTGGATGGAATTTTGTCTCCGCTGACTTCTTCCAAATGAAGCGCTGAAGGTGATGAGCGAAAAGGTGAGGTTGGCTCCATCTCTCCCCTCTACAGAAATGACTCCTGAAGAATACGTCTGCTTACATAATGGTGACCACTTCCTAATGCTGAGGTTAAAGAATTATCGTAACTTTCAAACTTCCAGGTTGGTCTCTGGTGCTGTCACCTGCCATCCTATGTACATTCTTGAAGGTTTAGTGTGCAGTCAGGCATTGAGTTTTCTCGTACAGAAAGAACAAGGGAGAAATGCTTTGATGAGAGCAGGCTCTTTGCAGAAGTGGTTCATCAGGTAGCTTGCACTGCTATTCATTCCCAGCTGTGGAGGCCACGGTACGAAAACAATATTTGGTAACAGGGAAAAGTGATAACCCTGATTGCCCCTTGGCTGTTTATCCCATAAGTAGCCACAACGTAGAGAAACTGCAGATTAAGTAACACCAACAGCCAGTCCCAGCAGCACTGGAACTATTCAGAGAGAATTTTTGAAGATGCAAAGAGTAAAGAAAGAGGCACAATGAATCAGCTGCATTTTACATCACTCAGCATTTTTGTTGCCATTGCATATGTTTTAATCAGATGAGATAACTGTTACAGAAGCAGAGCTTTTTTATTTTCCATACCAATGCAGTTTGTGCTGCACTTGTACAGCTATAAAGTAACTGGCTCTGAGACACTAATCTCTCCATTCATATTTCATGAATGTGGGCATCTCAGCCTCTGAAGTTGTGTGAATGGAGTCATATGATTTTCTTTCATGTTTCCCTATGTCTAACTTGATCGTGCACTACGTACCTGAGAGTAATCAACAGCAATGTCAGTGACTTGTTTTTGTCTCCTTTGGTGCCTAAGCAGTTGGCTTTCAAAGGAGCTTGAGCAGGAATGTACTGATGATATCATCCAGGAAGTTTCTCCACGTTACACCAGATTTGAAAATATTTCTAATTGATTATATTTTTACTTACAGAAAGGTAATACAGGAAAAGGAAATCAATATTTATGTGAAGGGGCTTGAGAGTAGCCTATGAAAAGATTGATGAGCATTCATCCATTGTATAAAATGTCACAGTCACAGAGTCAAATAAGTTTTACTCAATTTAATAGATTTACCCTCAACAACAGAGAATTCATTCTCTCTCTCTCTCTCTCTCTCTCTCTTTCTCTTTATCTATGCCTACACATATTTGAATTAGGCAAATGATCTCACTTACATACTTGGTAAATACCACAACCCAAAGGAACTTTTCCTCCTGAAAGGCAGTAGAAAAAAAAAATCATACCTGCATTTAAGACCATGAAAGATGGCTTAGTAGCACAGAAATTTGGAAAATATCTTTATGCTCTCCAGAGGGGTCCTATTACAGAGTAATCAAGCAACTTTTTCAATAAAAGTGTGCATCTTTCTGAAGGAAAAGACTAGTCGTATATATAGTCTATACACTATTGTTAATATACACTATTTGTGATACTTAACAAAAATGTGAATATTCCATTATTACTCCACTGTTGTTTTTTGTTTGTTTGTTTTTCTACATTCTAGGTAATGTTTATGTAACTGTGTGTAGTTTCTTTTTCTTTTTTTTTTTTTTTATTTTGATATAATTTCAATTATTTTCTTTATGAAAGAAAACAAAAATCTATGAAGAAAGTACAGGGACTGATGCAACAACAGGTTGAATAACATTCTCTGAAGCCAGTCTATCTGAGAGAAAGCATCACCCAGGTGAGTACATTTGAACAGAAGTTTATATTTTGTGTGGACTCAAAGGTCTAAAGACTCGGTGTGTTTGTGACATGACATGCTTTTGCTGTTCCATGACTACCAACACCTGTGATGCACTCTTCTTAAACCAAAATGTTCCTCTTTTATGTAGAAAAATGTTTGATATGTAGCAATATGTTTTGACCCAGGCACACTCCCATCATTCAGCAACCAAAACACTGGTGTGCAATTAACACTGTTTTGGCTGAAACTGGGATGTTTAAATAAATAGTATTTTTTAAAATGCCATGAAAATCCTATATCTGTGGCATGGAAAGCAAGAACAGCTGGAAGGAAGCCAAGCTCTTTGCCAGGCAGAAAGATGGCTGTAAGGCACAGAACAACACATCAGTTGGCGAATAATCCTGACCAAGCAGAAATAGCTTTTAGTGAAGATGACAGAGATTACGTTAAGAAATCACAGCACAGAGCTTCTGCTGGGGGAGACGTGCAGCGGCTGCTTTGCTTTCCTTCCTTGCCCTATTCCTCGGGAGGTGCCTTCTGAGAACAGAGATCCCGAGCCCCGAGCAGCAGTCTCCAGATGGCCCCTCCTATGGGCACAGAGCATAGGATGGCTGCGAGGCTCGAAGTGGCCAAGTAGAAACGTAATGATCTGGAGGGCAGAAGACTTGCAGAAAAACCCAGCGGAGCGTGTAACAGCCACCCATAGTATCATAAGAAAAGACAGCCAGTAGCATCCAGTTCAGAGCGGTGTATGAAAAGCCCGTAAAGTGCATAGAAAATTACGCAGTGAGGGAAAGTGCAGCACATTTGTTACGAACTCGTGATCCACCATCACCTTAATGTTTCTGTGCCCGTTACCACCCGAGCAGCCCATGCTGTACTTGGTAAACACACTTACGCAAGGGGTGGAATGGCAAGAAAACACCACCCCGCCCACAGGGCACCGGGAACCGCTTTCCGCGAGGACCCAAACGAGATGCGCGCCACCTCCGAGGCGGTTCAAAAAACGCGCGCTCCGCTCCGATTGGCCGCCACAAGAGAGGGGCGGGACTTTGACCCTTGCGAGTCGCGCGGTGCGGGCTCGCTGCCAGCCCCGCTGCTTCCAAGCGTGGGGCAGCGGCAGGGAAGGTGGGGGCAGATACCGGCTGTACTTAATCAGTATCTTTACTTTTATTGATTTTCAGCAAAAAGTAACTGTAGCTTCCAAGCAGAATAAACTTATGTTATCAGTAATGAGAAATTGGCACTTGGTGATTGCTATAAATACGATTCTAGTTAAGAGTCAGTTTCCAAAGAAACAGCAAAGCTGGTATTTACACTGACGTGTTCCTGCTCTTTTTAGGAAAGTGTAGGTGGCTCTGAAAAGAGCCTTTGGGTTGTTTACTTTTACAGCTTCACTTGGCCTTAGCCTTGTGGCTGTCGGTCTTCTTGGGCAGCAGCACGGCCTGGATGTTGGGCAGCACCCCACCCTGCGCGATAGTGACCTTGCCCAGCAGCTTGTTGAGCTCCTCGTCGTTGCGGATGGCCAGCTGCAGGTGGCGGGGGATGATGCGCGTCTTCTTGTTGTCGCGGGCCGCGTTGCCCGCCAGCTCCAGGATCTCGGCCGTCAGGTACTCCAGCACGGCCGCCAGGTACACCGGGGCGCCGGCGCCCACCCGCTCCGCGTAGTTGCCCTTGCGCAGCAGCCGGTGCACGCGGCCCACGGGGAACTGCAGCCCGGCTCGTGATGAACGCGACTTGGCCTTGGCGCGCGCCTTCCCGCCCTGCTTCCCACGGCCCGACATATCGCAGTCTGCAAGTCAGCCAGAAAATAATCGACAACGCAAACAGGACGCCAGGAGAGTCGGAAGAATTCAGGAGTAGCTGAGTACCGTCCTTTTATCCCTTCCTGCTGGGGTCGTGCGGCACTTTTGATTGGAGGAGACGGCGATTGTGGAGTTAGCCAATGGGAACAGCGATAGAAAACCGGCCAATTGAACACCGCGAGTGATTTTGACGTCACGGTCCAAAGATGTCCAATGGGAAGGAACGACCTCGAATCCCCTAATTTGCATACCGCCTCTATAAGTATGGGCTGCGGCGCCATTGTACCTGCGTCGATCCTGCGGTACAGGCAGCGGCGGGCGTGTGCGATGCCGGAACCAGCGAAGTCGGCTCCTGCCCCTAAAAAGGGCTCTAAGAAGGCGGTCACTAAGACCCAAAAGAAGGGCGATAAAAAGCGTAGAAAGACAAGAAAAGAGAGCTACTCGATCTACGTGTACAAGGTGCTGAAGCAGGTGCACCCTGACACGGGCATCTCGTCCAAGGCCATGGGCATCATGAACTCGTTCGTCAACGACATCTTCGAGCGCATCGCCGGCGAGGCGTCGCGCCTGGCGCACTACAACAAGCGCTCGACCATCACGTCGCGGGAGATCCAGACGGCCGTGCGGCTGCTGCTGCCCGGCGAGCTGGCCAAGCACGCGGTCTCCGAGGGCACCAAGGCGGTCACCAAGTACACCAGCTCCAAGTAGAGTGGTGCGGATTACTCGATTTTAACCCAAAGGCTCTTTTCAGAGCCACCCATGCTTTCAGTAAAAGAGTGGTTCACAAATACGTGGTGGTGAGTGGTGCTATTTCATATTGTCTTTGGTTGTCAGAGTGGGCTGATCTGATTAATGATGGGGAAAAAAAAATGCTTACTGCTTATGCTTCACATGTTAAAATCTGAATGTGGTTTTTTACATGACATAAAGGGACTGAGTAAGAGAAATATGTAGATTTTATGATATTCAAATCAGTTTATTCGCCTAATAAGCATTCCTCTGACAATCATTTCAATTCCAAATTTTAAGCAGGTAGAGGCACGTTATCTTTCTGCTTTGAAAGTCCTATGCTGCATTCACATCATTCCTATTGACGTCCCCACTAAGCACTGTCACCTTTTCCCAGGGACCTGGTTGTGGGTAACAGTAGTGTGACCCAAAGAGTCTCCATGGAGACAGCACTGTGTTCATGACTTCTGCTAGAAAATGATGCTCCATATTTATCATCTCCTATGTAGGGCTGTGCAAATGGTACTGGGTATTACTTAAACGAGCCAGAGAGTTTTGTAATGATGTGGCGTAGTTTGCTTTCCTCTCTAAATAATATAACAAAAGATCGGCTGGAGACAGAGGGGTTCATTAATCTAGTGTACACGCTGATAGGTGTACATAAATATATATATATGTATTTAAGAGAAAAAGCGAACGAGAGCGGCTTATGAAATGCGGGTGACAAGAAGGGTGGTTTCGGAGAGAGCCTTTCACGCAGGCGCTCGCACCCTGGCTGCGGGACAGATGGCCGTGTTACGCTATGCTGACGGAAGGCTGCGATCGCGCCGCTCCCCGAGAGCTCCGCCGCAGGGGGGGAAGGGCTCAAACCGAGGGCGGAGCTGCCTGCGGAGGGGCGGGGACAGCGGAGCGGGAAAGCGCCGTTACCTGCCGAGGAGCGCGGGCTTTTCAAATCCTGCCTCTGCCCAATGGGGTGGCAGTCTCCACTCCAGCCAATCAGAGCGCGCCCTTGTCTATAAATACGGGGTCTCGCAACCGCTTCTGCGTAGTTTCCTTTCTCACTGCCGAGGGGCTGTTTGGGGAAAATGGCGCGCACGAAGCAGACGGCGCGTAAGTCGACGGGCGGCAAGGCGCCCCGCAAGCAGCTGGCCACCAAGGCGGCCCGCAAGAGCGCGCCGGCCACGGGCGGCGTGAAGAAGCCGCACCGCTACCGGCCCGGCACGGTGGCGCTGCGCGAGATCCGCCGCTACCAGAAGTCCACGGAGCTGCTGATCCGCAAGCTGCCCTTCCAGCGCCTGGTGCGCGAGATCGCGCAGGACTTCAAGACCGACCTGCGCTTCCAGAGCTCGGCCGTCATGGCGCTGCAGGAGGCGAGCGAGGCTTACCTGGTAGGGCTCTTCGAGGACACCAACCTGTGCGCCATCCATGCCAAGCGCGTCACCATCATGCCCAAGGACATCCAGCTCGCCCGGCGCATCCGCGGGGAGCGCGCCTGAGCTCGTGGAAGAGAATCTGACTATCGAAAACCCAAAGGCTCTTTTAAGAGCCGCCACAGGGCCAATAAAAAGAGCTGTAAACTCTTAAATCTTTTGAGGGTTTACTGCTGCACGTGTTGCGGGTAGCCTTTTGTTGACCAGTTTCTAAGGTAAGTGCCAAGGGAAGTATTGCCGTGTTTTTAAGAGGTTGAGAGGGAAGTTTGTGCCGATTAAATGCTGCTTTGTCAGTGGCGGTGTGAAGGTCTATTGGTAAGAAAAGCTCAATTTTATGGATCTAATGAATAGACTTGCTTTTCTGGTACCATTGGAAAAGGTTTTTGAGAACTCTGATAAGCTAAAAGCAAAATGCCTCACTTCTAAAAGCCGGTATTCCTTAACGTAATGGTCGCTTAAAACGGTCACGTATGTTTAAATGCAATTCTGTATTCACTGTTTCCTTTCTCGATTGCAGTATGTTGCAAGTCAAGTATGTAGTTAATTGCCCACGTTATTCTGTAACTTTTATTTCCTTATGCTCAAAGCGTTAGAGTTTATTAATCCTACAGTTAAAAACAGTGCCTTTAATTTTGAAGTAGTACAAAGTCTAGTTTCCGTAGCTGCCCATTCCTGCATGGGTGCTTTGCCACGCGTGGGCTGACCATTCTTGTAAGCAAGTCCCTCTCGTCAGTCTGTGGCCCTACTGAAGTGCTTTTAGTTTACGTTTGAATCCAACACAACAATTCCTGGCAGAGCATGGTACTCAGTGACTCCTGTACACCTACATCTGTAATGAGGTTTCTGCCTGACTGCCACTCTGTCATGCAGCTCCTTCACATCCTACCCAGAAGTCGTATACCTGTTACAAAAAACACAATTTCCCAACCCATTTCTAATTTCCTGTTGCGTTCTGTGTTTCTTGCTTAACACAGCACAGCCCTCCTTATGTCCATGTAATGCCGGGAGATCCCTGCTCTGCCTGATCGAATTGGTTCTGCAGTGCTGCATGGAAGTAGGTGAGATGCAGTTCTCACTTCTGTGAACGAACACAGACAAGGAGGATTGCTTGGAGGGAATAGATATTTTTGTCAAAGCTTCATGCAGTAAGTCATGGGTTTTGTGGTGTGGGGGTTTTTTTTGTTGTGTTTTTTTTTTTTTTTTTTTTTTTTTCCCTTCTGTGTAATTGCTGATACATTTTGTTTCAGGAAATATTCCTTCCTCTGTTTCAGGAACTTTGGGCTCTGCAGCAAAATCTGACCAATCGCATTCCTCGGTGCTCCATTTTCTTTCCTGTTTTTTTCCTTCCTTTCAGCCATTTTCTGTTTTACTCAGCGCAGCAACCTGGGGGTGGAGGTGGGGTGGGATTGTGGGGTAGATCTCAGAATAACACTTTGGAAAACTTGATCAGATCATGAGCAGTTTTATTATTCGCGGGGGGGGCCCCCCCCCATATTCATTGGCATAAGATCTGTGCTTTCTGAACAGATTTATATATGGTTTTTTCCTTTTTTTCCTTTTTTTTCCTTTTTTTTCCTTTTTTTTTCTTTTTTTTTCCCCCTGTGGATAATTACTATCATGCTTGTAGAAGTGAACTGTAGCAAAACACAATGAATTTCCTGTTTCTCTCTGTTATACAAAGGGATCCATTAGTTACCAAAATCTCTTTATCAGAATGTATTTACAGTAAATTCCATGGTAAGACTGAAGCATGGCAAGCAGAGTGCATTTCTAATGTGTAATGGACACTGAGTATGTTATACAGGCTGCATAAACAGTTACATTTTAGTAAGAGTTTGGGCAAAAATGATAAAAAATGATGCTTTTTTTTTTTTTTTTTTTCTTTCTCCCTTCTTTTGTGTGTTTGGGGAGAAGGGAAGCTGGGTTTTATTGACTGGGATTACTTTGAGTCTGATTCTGAGAGTTACATTTCTAAATAATAATAAAAAATACTTAACACTTGAGCAGTTGACAAGGATGTAGACATGCAAGGGTTTTGCAGGAAGAGTAAAATCATATGATCCCTGGATTTGCAATTCCTGGGCCTGAAAAAAATCTGGTATTTAACACAGAAGGGCATTGATGACAGTAATAATCTGTCAGAGATTCTGTCTCCAGAAAATCAAACTGGCAGTCAGGAAAAATTTACTGCATGGAATTTGAAGTGTGTAACAACTGCAGTGGTGATACCAGGAAGCACAGCAGGCTGACTGCAAATCTCCAGTGAACTTTGCTCTTTCCTCCTTACATAAGCGATGAATCCTATCAGCTTGTGTGTGATGCTGATTTAGTAAGCTGTAAAAGAGCAGTAACAGATCAGACAAAGTTAGGATAAAAATACATCTGCTCAGTGCAATACTTGGCTGAGAGAAATCCTGGCTGTTTTGCCACTCTCTGTGAGTGGTCCAGAGCCCTGTTGATATGATGAATTAAATCACTGCTGGGATAAATCAGTCCAATGGGCAGCATCACCACTGAGGCCTTCCTGGTGAATTTTTTCCACTTTTATTAGAAATGTATAAGCTCAGATTATATGTATATATATATAT